CCCAGCTGATCAGCTGGGACTCGGGAGGCAGAGAATAGATGGGGGCGGGGCCAGTCAGAGGTGGGATTCTGAACTACTCAAGATTTCTGCTACTGGTTGTCCAAACGACTCAAAATTTCCACTACTGGTTCTCCAGAACTGGTCAGAACCTGCTGTATACCACCTCTGGTCCACACATATTAAAGTTGTCAAGTTTGAAAAACACTGAACTATGTGAGGGAACCAAGAGAGTTAAGCAAAGAATTATATCATACACAAAGTATTAGTAAATCAGAGATCAGGTTCTGCAAACAGTCTAATTGTGGGAAAATAAAAGAATTTGCCTCCTTCCTTTTTGGTGGTATAGGTGTCTGTTTTATGGATCTTGGTTCTTCTGTATCTATGTGTAATCACTTATCTTCATTACTAAAATTCCTTGACATACCTGCATAAAAGAATTTCATTTCTCAAAGATTAACCAAAACCAGAGATAGCACCACATAGCAGTCAGCCAGGAAAGTAAATGTTTTTTATTTTAAACAAATAAAAATAATTAAATTTGTGTGAGTTACTTCTTCTGTGCACTCTCACATTTCCTGCAATATCTTCAATGTTGCAATAAGGCATCCTTGGTGTTCCCTGAGTTTGGTTTTTTCTTGCAGAAATATCATTACACAAACTAGGTAACATCATCACTGCTAGTCAATTCTTGACTAAGACTAATGATGTTACTTAGTTTGGTAATGAAACATCTGTAAGAAAACAACCAAGCTGCTCAGAGAGCACCAAGAACAACCCTGAGCTAAAAGTATTCTCCTTTATTGGTTGTGGCAATAAATTTATGCATCTTAGCAGGCATAAAAATGAATTTCTGAGGCCAAACTATTCATAGTTAAGATTTTAGTGGCAAGATTAGATGATACCAGTCATGTCTATCACGTTAGAATAAACTAATCTTTGGAGGCAGCTTTCTATATACACTTCCATTTTACAATATTCCTCTACTGAGCCTCTGATATGAAGAGGTTGAGGGACGCCACATTCATAGTCAGTTAACGGCTATATAATTTCAGATGAGGGCTAAGCTGGGCCATGGGTTTCCTAGTGTCATTCAGCAAGACTGCCTAAACCTGGTTGTGTCTAAGGATCCATAGCAACGGAGGTTAGATTGCTACCCATGGCTCTATTTACAGTTTTGGTGAAACATTTTGTGCATGCCTGTGTACATAGATGAAATCTGCATCGTTAAAGTCTGGCTTTCAAAATTTTATAAATCAAACTAAATAAATAGCAACTTCACTTTGAAAAGAATAAGAACTCTAATACTGTTACATAAGCATGAATGTTTTATGGGCTATCGGCAGTGAGAAATTACGGCATTCCGTTGCTTGGGCTGCTCGCCTGGGAACGGTCCCTGAATTTTCATTAAAACAGATGAAGCCTTATATTTTAACTAAACATATTCATGGCAAATTATTTAACAGCAGTTGGATTTCTCCCACCCACCCCCAGATGTAATTTATAGCACAGATTGCATCTCCTCTGTCTGCATCTTGGTGCTCTTTAATTTTTGAGCACTTCTTTTGTCCTTGCTGTGCTTGAAAATGAGCAGATGTCAGGACTGGTTTCCACCTTGTAAATGAACTGAAATGGATTTTACATTTCCGTAAGCCTCCTGTGGCAAAGTAAAAGTTCTTTGTGTAAATCTCAGCATAACCTCATGTTGTCAGACAGGGTACATATATTCTGACAGCATCCATGGATTTTACTGGCTTCATCATGATGATAAAATATACACACAAACAACAGATATTACTAGGGCTCAGGCAATTGCGAGGCAAGATTGTTTGTCTTTTAAAAGAAAAGAATGATAAAAATACAAAAAACTTTAGAAAGTAATCTTGTTTTGTGCAGCATCCAATCCATTTGGCCTGCCTTGCACTATTATCTTGACATAAATTACTCTTTAGGGATGATTAGTTGCTCTGATAAGGCTGATATCCCCATCACCATTTTGAAGGGCTAATGACAACTGTATGAACTAAGTAGGGCAACACATCTCTGCTTTAAAATTTCAAAAGAAAAAAAAATGCACCCAGTTTGATTACCGATTTCCTATCTTTGTTGGGGCTTTGTTTCGTGTAATATCAGGCAGATTTCTATTTCATGAAGGTTTTCAGTGGTGATAATCTACTAATTAGGCAAAGAGAACCGATTAAAAAAAAGCCAAATGGTTGTTCTCTGGCCTTAGAAATCCTTCTCTGAGGTAATGCTTGAGGTGCATTGATGCTTGCTCAACATTTGGAAACATCACAGTAAATGCTGTAATTCATTTATTAAACTAGAAGCTGTCTAAGAAAAAGGTTATCACATGGTTGCCCAGCTTTCTGGACCTGTCACAGCCAGCATCTTCTTTTTACTTTTCTATGGAATGAATTGTCTTCTCTTAATTTTCACTATAGTACTCATGCAACAGATTATCACTTTGCTTCTTTGTTCTTTTCATTCTTGTATAATGTAATATTTAGGCCAATGTTTTTCAACCATGCTGACTGGGGAATTCTGGGAGATGAAGTCCTCACATCTTAAACTTGCCAAGGTTGAGAAACATGGCTTTAGTCAGTCAAAACAGTAGGCTAATGGTAACTACGAATGAATGTTTTTAGCCCATTTCCAACAATCTTTTTCCTTTGTACAATCAAAGGAAATATTCTTCTGAATTCTAAATTGATTGTGCTTGCTCAACATGTTACATTAGAGCCAATTCAAAACCAGATTATAAATTTACTGTAGGAACCCCAATCTTTTTGGAGCAGTGGGCACATTTGACATTTTGATAGCATCTTATGGGCACTTTTATGAAATGGTTGCCATAGTAAGCATGGCCAAAAAAAAAAAAAAATCACCAATTACCAGAAGGCAAATTGGTGAGTTGCCTCAGTTCAGGCTTCCTTTTTTGGGTGGTGGTGGAGTTCAGATAGATGCAAAGCTCACATTTAAAACTCACCATAATATTTATTTATAAAAAATATTTCAGGGAATACAAGGGAATACATAGCAATCAAAAATATTTTGAACATTAGGATAATTGGAAGCTGTGCTTTATTTTGCAACACACTAGTTTCACATGCATCTTTAAAAAAAACACAGAATAATTTTAAAGCAAATTCAGACAGGTCATGGATAGCAAGAGAAATTACTGGGACGGTAGTAGTGCCCATAAGTACCTAAATCTTATTATATTGTATAAGCTCTGACACTATGGGTAAACAATGGTGTGTGTGTGCGTGTGTGTGTGTGTGTGTATATAGCCAACTGTGGTCTATGTACAATGATTATTCAACAAACTTCACAATTCATTCAAAATAAAATTCACAATTGATTCACGATTGATTCAGTAAGCTGTGATCAAATAGTGACGGATATGAATTTCACCAATCAATGTTTAAAACTGCTTAGCTTCACCAGCTGGCTAAAATAATAAAATGCAACATAGACTGTGTTCACAAAACATACTAAATCCTAATTTATAAGCCATAACAGCTAGGTTCTCATAGCTTGCTAGCCATATGGCTTTTTCATAATCCATGATTGAATGTATCTTCTCAGCATCATCCAGTCATGACTGAAGTGATATAAAACCTGTTCTTGTTATTATTTTGGAACTATGGTTGGATGATTCTGGATGAATTGTAAATCAGTAATAGGGTAAACATAATATACTAAGGAAATCAGGCCTTTTTAGTATGAAGACTTTTCAGGGTTTCTGTATTATTAATTAAAAGAGCCACGGTGCTGCAGTGGTTACAAAGCAGTTGACTCAGCCTTCCATCCTTCTAAGATCATAAAATGAGGACCTAGATTATTGGGGGCAATATGTTGACTCTATAAACTGCTTAGAGAGGAGGGCTGTAAAGCACTGTGAAGCAGTATGTAGGCTTAAGTGCTAGTGTTATTGCTAAAAGTTTGGGTCCTTCCCATCACCATTCTCTGCTTCAAGTTTATTTATTTTATTTATTTATTTATTTATTTGATTTGCCAATTGTTTACAAGATAATAAGTATAAATGTATACATAGTTGTGAATACATGAAATGGTTACATATAAGAAAAATAAAAGAATAAGAGAAACAATAGGACAGGGACGGTAGGCACGTTGGTGCGCTTATGCACGCCCCCTACAGACCTCTTAGGAAAGGGGTGAGGTCAATAGTAGACAGTCTAAGGTTAAAGTTTTTGGGGTTTCGGTCCTCCTTTTGAAGAACAACCAATTATAGCGTAACTACAGAGAAGGAACACGATGACATGTGAATTACAACACTGAAATACCACAATTTAATATTTGAATCTGGTGTTATTGGAACAAAAGTACACTATTGGATGTTGTGTGGACATTATCCTCATTTGTTATGGATGGAACTGTCCAACTTTCTTTTCAAACTGTTTTTGAACAGGGTTTTTCCCCCAAACTGTTTTTAACTGTTCTTTTTTTCTTTTCCTTTCCCTTTTTTTTTTTTGCAGGAAGTCCTGTGGAATGTTATTTTTAATTTGCCATCCAACTAATGGCAAAAACAACATTTTGACAGCCATATGGTATAAATCTTAAGCACAGAAATGCAAAAGTATGGGCCATCAAATCCAGCAGGATTTATATCAGAAGAGACATGGGCCAAAACTATATGATGTGGCTTAGAGCTATTTCTCTATGCACAAGGATGGAACAAAGAAGCTTTCGGAAGGAAGCAGAAATTTACTTTAGGTGGGGATAAATCTCAGTGCATCCTAGTGTGGCCCGACGCTGCTTGTTTACTCTCTGTTTCTTTCTTTTTTCATCTGTCTCTCTCACCGAGTTTTCTAGGGTCCATGGTGCACTTCCATCAGCCTCGGGAAAACGAGGAAAACAACGCTACAAAGCGAAAGACGACACAGCGCGCATGCGAGGTTCCAAAAGAATGCACCGCTCTTCCTAAATTCTTCCTTTCTCCAGCAGGTGGCGCGAGCGAGCACACTAAGTGTTTCGCTAAAGATGGCTTCTGAGGCTTCCTTGCCCACCAGAAAGATGGCGGGCCGCTCCGGCTCAACGGCATACCATCGATGACGGCGAGGAGGGGGACGTGCTCCAAACTCCCAAGCACGCCTTCCCTTATTCCTTGGGGAGACCCTCGGTCCCGGGGCTGTGCCTCTATGGTGGCCGCCGAAATCGCTTTGACAGCTGAGGCTTAAGGGACGCCTGCGCGATAATTCGGCTTGTCTCCCCGTTTCGACCCCGCCCCGCCTGAGCAGGTCAGTCGAACCTCCCGGATTAGAGGCGCTCCGGCACATCGTTCCGATTGATATTTGCGGGAAACAAGCTGGGTGGGAAGACGGACTACAGCCTCTTCGTTTGCCCGCGACCGGGCAAGGGCTATGCGCTGCCTAGAAACAGGTCTTGTCACTCAAGGCTGCTGCACGACCTTTTTAACCGTCTGAAACACTGTCTGGTCCTAATGCAACCAGCCTTGTGGTTGACCGTGGCGACCTCTTCGGGTGGCAAGTAAAAGCCAGGCAGCTTTTCCCCCCAACTTGCTGCTTTCCAGTGAGTTTCCAGGACTATACTATACAGGTAATCCTCCACTATAGGAAACAGTTCATTTAGTGACCGTTCGAAATTACACCGGCACTGAAAAAAGTGAATCATGACCATGTTTCACACTTATGACCATTGCAGCATTTCGCCATGGTCACGTGATTTACATTCAGATGCTTGACACCTGGTTCATGTTTATGACAGTTGCAGTGTCCCGGTGTCATGTGATCGTATTCTGACATTCCCCAGTCAGCATGGTTGAAAGCAAAGTCAATGGGGAAGCCACATTCACTTAACAACTGCATAGATTCACTTAACAAATGTGGCAAGAAAAGACGTAAAATGGAACAAGACTCACTGAACAAATTTCTTACTTAGCAACATAAATTCTGGGCTCAATTGTGGTCGTAAGTCAAGGACTGCCTGTATTGTAGCGCCCTTATCCTCAGTCAGCAAGGAGTAGGGGACATATCTGGAGGATATGGTTAGGAGAACCAACCGAAGATCTGAAAATGGGGCCAGAGAAAATTGCCTGGAAAGCATTCAAGGATGTCATTCAGAATTTTCTTGGCAACCATAGAACACCAAACTACATTCAGCTGGTTGACAAACTTCTTGCAACATGCAAAATCATTAAGTGCAACATGTAACTGCAGATTAATTTGCTGCATTCACACTTGGATTTCTTTCCCGAAAAATCTAGGTGCACTCATTGAGGAAAATGGTGAAAGGTTTTGCCAAGACATTGGTGCTATGAAAAAATGGTATTCAGGGTAACAGGAAACTGTCAGTGCTGGATGATGGTTGTTGGACACTGTGGAGAGATGCATTGGGCATCAAGTACAAATGAAAATCAGCTGCAAAACACTTCTAGCCCTGTTGAACTCATGCAGTTTGTTGGAAACATTACATAATTAAATATGTAGTCATTAAAAGTTAATATCATGTTTCTGAAGATTCCTATACTATGCAGTCATTCTGAATTTATATTTGTGTTCAGATTGAAGGGCTATGAATATCATAATCACCTAAAGTTTTTCAGGAAGCAAAACATTTGAAATAAATTGCCATCTAGTATTTACAGAGATTAGAATTATATATGCATCACCTTCATGTTTTTATTTTTTATATGCTGGTTGTCAAAGAGTCATCCTTTCAGCTTTACACAATTCACAATTGTAGAGGACAGAGACTAGAATATAATGCAACATAAGTATAAGCACGGATGGTATTGTAGCCTTTGAATTAAATGAGACTTTTTCTCAGTTAATCTACCATCATCTATCTGGCCAGTGATTGTAAGAGTTTTAAGTACTGAAAACTTGTATAAGTCCTTAGTGAGAATGTGAAAGAACTGACATTAAACTGATTTGGATGAGAAGGGTAATTTATGCAAGCTGATGAAATGTTCTCAACTCTTATTTCCATTTAATAGGATGGAAAAAAAGAAAATTTTAATGAAATCTAGTGTTGCTGCCTCCAACCTCCTGAGAACATTACATTCTCTCTATCAATATGGACATTTTTGTGATGTTACAGTATACACAGACCAGCTGGGTATCCAACAAGAATTTTATGTCCACAAAGCTGTTTTAGCAGCTTCTAGCAATTACTTTAAAAGCCTTTTTCTCAATAATGAAATGAATAACGTCAAAAGTTGCACAGTGACCCTCCAGGACATTCCTGCTGAAGAATTTGTCTCATTCCTCAAGTTTGTCTACACTGCAGAGTTAGAAATTGAAGTGGACAGGCTGCACCAGATCAAGGAGCTCGCTAAGAGACTTGAATGCCAAGATCTGCTTGACGTTTTTGAAGAAGTGAAGGCTGTAGGTGGAAACTTGGAACCAAGTGTGCATTTGAAAAAAAAGGAAGGTGTTAGATTGCCTGGGAATCGAACAGAACTTGGAGGAGAAAAAGCACAGCGTGATTTATCTCATGTTTTGGCTGCTGCACTGATGAAGAATCATTTGGGGAAAAGAATGAACCGTTCAAAACCAACCACCAATTTTGATGATATTAAAAATAAACGTATAAGCCCTAAGGAAGATAGGATGGTGAGTTGTAATTCCAAAGATGAATCAACAACGACATCTAAGCATATCAGTGAGGCTGACTGTCCTTCAATAAACGAAGAAGCCCACATCGCTTTAAGCAGAACATTGCCGGACCAAAACGATGAAAGTAGTTTGATGCTTTCTAAGGCCAAACTCAGAAAGTCAACCCGCAATATACCAAAAGCCTTGCCAAGTGACAAGTGTAATTGTTTATTCCATTTTACCGAACAGTACCAATCGCATATTGATCTGGAGCATAGCACAAGCTTGGGAATTAAGCATAGCTGCAATATATGTAGCCAACTCTTTCCCAATTGTCACAATCTAAGGCAACACAGGCGCTCTCTGCACAGCCGACAGCGGAACTTCCCCTGTTTGCTCTGTGAGAAAAAGTTTCAGTGCCAGAAGGATATCAGTGCTCATATACTCACGGTTCATGAAAAGAAGCAGCATCCTCAGCAATGCCCCTACTGTGACAAAGTCATCAGCTCCAAGTGTGGCCTGACAGTTCACATACGAACCCACACAGGGGAGAAGCCTTATAAGTGTCAGTGCTGCTCAGCCAGTTTTGCTCAGAGGTCAGCCTTTAATACTCACGTAAGGTAAATCCTTTTTTAAAAAAAAAATACATAAAAGGTAAGACAACAGTACCAAAGAGAAGTTGGCTTGTGAGCTTTTTAGCTTTTGATTTTGTAGCAGAGTGCTCAGCCATAATGGAGCTGGTGGTGTGGTTTTGGTTTACTGTGGGATTTTTTTGTATACATTTTATTAAAAATTGATAAAGAACATAAAAACTAACCCAGAGTAATCAAGTTATTTGTAGGATGACTAAGGAAGTAAGGAAGAGTATAAGGAAGCAAAGAAAAAGAAAAGGAAAAAAGGTAAAAAGAAACAGAAACAGAAAAACCTCCCATTTTTTTTCTGCAGCAAATATAAGTAGAATTACAATATTAGCTCTTACTCTTAACAAACTCACTTTTTTTCTATTATCCAGTTTTTTCTAATCATAAAAACCACAAATAATGCATACATTTTTTATGTTTTATGCAAAAAGTCTACAAGTAGTTTCCAGTCAGCCATAAATACAGATACTGTTTTTTTTCTGTGATCAAAGAAGTTAATTTAGTCATCTCTACAAGTTCCATCATTGTCAACAACCATTCCTCCATTGTGGGTAATGTCATTTCCCCCCCCCATTTCTAAGTAATTAAGAGTCTTGCTGCTGGTATCTTATATAAAACGAAAGTTCCATGTTTTTTTTAAAATTGCCTGTCCATTAGTCCCAAAAGAAAAATCTCTGATTTCAGTTGTACTTTAACCTTTAACACTTTCTGGATTAATGTGTGTATTTATTATAGCCATTTGTTTTAGCTTTTTGCATGTCCACCAAATATGGTAAAATATCCCTTTAATGTGTTTGCATTTCCAGCGGAGATTCAAAGTACTGTTATATATTCTAGAAGTTTCTGTCTATAATGATATATCATTTTGTTAAAATTCTCTTTGAGGCTAGAACATAAAATACAGCCAATCTCCAACCTACAACCAGTCACTTTGCAACTGTTCAAAGTTACAGCGGACACCCTTCCCCCAAAGTTACGTACAAACCAGTCTCCAAATTTTGGCTGCTGTAGTAACTTCTCCCTCATTCCTCCCACTTGGCCCTACACCCTCCTCCTCACCCAATGTCACCCATCACACAGTTATCTTTTGAAGATCTCTGTGGTTCAGGTTTGGGAGCCAAAGCAAGCCACTTTATTGCTGGGCTGTGTGGCGCAATACTGGAAGTGGTTCCCATGAGTGGCCATCCCCTTTACAAATGTGATGGCTGTTTTGGGGATTATACCGCACAGCCCAGCTATGGCGGGTTTTGCTTTTCTTAATGCAACTTCTGCATGTTCTGCAGCGTTTATATTATATCAAATAACCTTGTGAGAAGCCCCACACACACACAACCGTAGAGAACGAAATATATTAAAAGAAGCAGAGTATTATTTTTCCCCTAAATGAGAAGAGGAGAAACATATTCTTAACAAAGGCAAAGGGTTTTGCCAGAAAATTTGTCCAAGCAATAGAAGCCATATACAATAAACAGACAGCAAAGGTAATGATGGAGTGAGAACTTACAGATTTTATTAATATAAGAAAAGGCACAAGACAAGGATGTCCCCTATCTCCTTTGCTATTTGTATTGACTTTGGAAGTGTTGAATAGAAATATTAGAGATGATAAAAGCATAAAAGGAATGAAAATTAAAAAGGAAGAATTTAAACTGCAAGCTTTTGCTGACGACTTAGTCTTTATTTTGGAAGATCCGTTAGAAACAGCTCCAAAGTTATTGGAAAAGATAGAGATATATGGTGAGGTGGCTGGTTTGAAAATAAATAAAGACAAAACAAAGATTTTGACAAAGAACATGCTACTGAGACAAAGAGAAGAACTGGCAGACCTGCTGAAAATCCAAGTTACGAATAAGGTTAAGTATCTGGGGATACATTTGACAGCAAGATGTAGCACATTAAAGGAGAATAATTATATTAAACTTAAACAACAGATAGCTATAGACTTGAAGAAATGGGAAAACTTGCAATTGTCATTAATAGGGAGAATTTCAACAATTAAGATGAATATTTTACCTAGAATCCTATTTCTCTTTCAAACAATACCAATTAGGCTCGGAAAAGACTATTTTGATGATTTAAATAAAATTATGTTGAAGTATATATGGCAAGGTAAGAAAGCGAGAATAAAGCTAAAGCTTTTGCAAGATGCTAGAATTAGAGGAGGTTTTGGTCTGCCTAATTGGGAATTGTACTATCAAGCTGCAAGTTTGATGTGGGTTAAGGAATGGATAACATTAAGAAAGTCTAGATTGTTGACATTAGAAGGTCATGACTTGCTGTTGGGTTGGCATGCTTTTTTATGGTATAAGGGAACTAAAACACAGGGTTATTTTAGAAGATCTGATTTGATTTGATTTGTCAATCGCTTACAAGATAATAGGAATAAATATAAACATGAGTAAGAATACAGAAAATAGGTACAAATAAATGGGAACAATAGGACAGGGACAGTATGCACAATTGTGCACTTATGCACACCCCTTACAGACCTCTTAGGAATTTGGTGAGGTCAATAGTGGATAGTTTAAGGTTAAAGGAGTGGGGGTTTGTCTTTTGGTTTGTAAAAGAAATGGCTCAAAAAAAATATTATGCCGTGTCAGGCACAAGCAACACACCCACATTTTAGGGTTCAAACTTGCTCCTTTATTACATTCTATTAGACAGGAATCTCACCAGATTGTCAGCCTCAGCCTGGGAACAGATAAATAAAGGTCTATGGAGCTTAAGGGTTCCAGAGGAACACAGTATATAATCCAGCAGCACTGAAATTATATTCAGCTAAGGCTTGCACACAATTATTCTTTGGTGCTCAGCTGGGATCTTACTCCTCTGGAACAGGTGCAGTTCCTAAGAGCCATTTTGTGTCTATCCAGAAAGATTGGGCCAATCTATTCCTAAGCATAGAGGCTCCAAATAAGCAACACAGTTAGGCAAGCCAGAGCTGACAAGATTAGCTCAAACACCTAGGACCATGATGGCGAACATACGGCACACGTGCCACAGGTAGCATGCAGAGCCATTTGTGCCTGCACGCAAGCTGCAGGCAAACTTACTTCACTGGGCATGCGTGTGCTTCACAGCTGATTTTCGGCTGGTTTGAGGCCTTTTTCGGCCTCCCAAAGGCTTGAGGAAGGCTTCTGCAGGCTTTGCAGGCCGAAAACTAGCCCCGTTTCATCACTTCCTGTTGTTCCTAAAATACTGGTGCATTGTCTTCTGGGTGCTGGCACGTGAGTGTGAGGCCAAAAAGGTTAGCCACCACTGACCTAGGATTTCCCCTTTTGCCTGTAGAGCCAGCCATGACCCCATAGAAATCTGGCAATAGCCATTAAAATATTAAAGGACACGTTCTTACACAGGAATAGGCACCTCAAGGCCTACTTATCCCAACCCCATTTTGTCAGCCACCCCAGAAATATGATTGGACATCCAAATAAAGAGTCCTCTTTCCTGCAGCCACCCTCCATTTTATTTCCAGTATCTTTCTCCTGGACTGGAACCAGACCAGATTTTTCTTCCAACAACCTCTAATAAAGGCTTTGCTGGCATCCCAAACTATCCCCTTGTCAGCTCCTATATTTAAATTATTTTCCAAAAAATCCCTTCAATTTTTTTTTTTACAGTCCTGGACAACTTCATCTTTCTGTAACAATACTTCATTTAATCTCTATCTTTATTTTGAATACAACAAAACAGGAAGTCCTAAATCAGCATAATAAAAAAAGACAAGACCCTGCCTGTTTTTTCTCTCTCTCACTTTTAGTCCCTTTCAGTAACCTTCACTGCAGCAAAGCTCAGATTTTCATGGCATCTGAGCATCCAGAGTCTTATCTCTTGTTATGAAAACTCCACCAGTCACTTCAATTCTTTTAAAAATAACTAGTAACATTCTCATGCCAGGATGATCTTATTAGCTGGCTTAATGGAAAATTGTAGCAAGGCACTTTTATAAAAAGTAAAATTAAAAAATAGAGGGGAAAAAAGGCTGCCCTCCTGTCTGTTTTTGGAAAACATTCTTATATCTTCTCTTAGTTGAGCTATTAAATCAAAGTCTTGTGTTGTTTTTTGTCATCTCGGAAAGATTTAACTTACCACAAGGAGTATTACTTCTGTTGCAGAAACAAAATCTCTTTTCATCTATAATTAATTACTTTCCAAAGTGATTAAGTACTGTAGTGGGCGGGGGGGGGGGGAGTGGAGAAAGCATATAATGTCCATTTGGTTTCACTGTAGTTAGGAGCATAGATGGAGGTCCAGATCTCTCTGCAGCTCAACTCCTGAGCCAGATGTAGAAAACTTCCAGTTTTTGCAGTATCTCAGAAGAAATGGAGCACATGTGGTTTATTGTGATATCTTTCTTTAATCCAAGAAGATTGCAGTGACCAGAATCTCTTCTCAACTGTCCCAGCCAGCATTTATTCATCTGTGATGATTCTCCACACCTGGAGAGTATCAACTTGCCATTAATTCCCATCAGAAGTCCGGTTTTGGTTTCCTCTGTTGACTGAATCCAGTCAATGTGCAGGGGTGGGCTTCAAAAATTTTAGCAAAGGGTTCTCTGCCTGGTTGCTGGGTGGGCGTGGCCTAGTTGGCCTCCTGCACCATGATGGTGGGGGGCATTCTTGCCCTCCCCAGGCTCCGGAGGCTTTCCTTGATCCTCCAGGAGGGCAAAAACGGCCTCCCTGGGCTCCGGAGGCTCTCTGGAAGTTGAAAACAGACCCATTTCCGGTCTTCCTGAACTTCCGGGAGGCCCGTTTTTTGTCCTCCCTGAGCTTCTGCGCACACCCTGTACTTACTTGCATCCAAAACGGGCTGCATGGAGACTCCTTAGAAGGAAGGGGTGGGGTGGGTAGGACCAGCCAGGGGTAGGATTTGGGTGTTCTCCAAACTGCACAGAATCTTAGCTAGGGGCTCTCCCGAACCCATGCGAACCCCCAACAGCCCACCCTTGTCAACGTGCAACCTATGTGACAACCCCATTTGTAATTTTCAGAAGAGCCTGAGTGGATGGGGCTAAAGATTTTGAAACTCTTCATTTTGAGAGCTTGGGACAAAGTTATTGGGCAAAATCAGGCTGATGGCTCTCACTATGTGCAAAGGGCTTTAAAAAGTTTCTGTAAGGCTCAAAGTAGTATTTTCCTATCTACCTATAAATTCTTTTTTTCGCCAATAGAAAGATACATGAATCCAAGAAAGATGGGAAATGCATGCCAGCTTACTGGGCAATAGTTCCACCGGCAAAAAAAGTAGATGTGATAGATAATAGAATCAACAGGAGTAACAAAACACAACTCACAGTGCCAAATAATGATCTGCAAAAAGAAATACTTGGGAAAGCTACTCAGGAGCCTGAGGGAGAATCTAGTCGATCTCTTCCAGAGGAAGCACAATGTGGCAACCAATCAAACAAGAAGCTGGAACCGGGTACTGAAAATCATACTAAAAAGGGGGAAACTTGTAAACAAGGGACTGGGGATGTGAAAGGAAATGGAGAAAGAGTTTGTGAAGCAGGCGTATACAGCGATAAAGACAATGAGGCCTTCTCTTCAGATGACAATCACAACGAGGACTCAAATGATCGCGATCCCGAATGGGATATAAATTGCAAAAACAAAGTCATCCCAACATCTGCTTACATCATAACTTGTACCAAATGCACCGAGAAGTTTCCGTCACGGAGGAAATACGTCATCCACTGCAAAGAGATTCATCATTCCTTGCCCGGGAAAGTATATCAGTGTGATGTTTGCAACAAATCCTTTGCAAGTCACAACAGCTGGAAAGAGCACCGAGCCTGCGTTCACACAGAGGACAGGAAGTTTGCCTGCACCCTGTGCAATGCCACTTTTAAAAGGAAGAGGGATGTGAGGACTCACTTTGTGAGGAAGCATGAAGGGCGAGTGAAGCGGCCCCTCTGCTCTGTCTGTGGGAAAATCCTGAGCTCCAGAACAGCACTTGTCTTCCACATGAGGACCCACACAGGAGAGAAGCCATACCAGTGTGGCATTTGTGGCTCAAGTTTTGCTCAACCATCACAGCTCAAGATTCATACCAGGTCAGCTTCTACTACCACTTCCTTCTTCTCCCAACACGTTTTGTTTTAAAATGTTTATACCTATTTATTATAGAAATGGAATGTTTCCATTTATTTATTTTTTAAAGGCAGAGCCTTTAAATGTTACTTGCACATAGCCCTATGCTCAGCCCTTGAATCACAATCTGAACCAGGACAACAATTCTTTCCCCTTTTAATAGAATACTATTTCCTTGAATTGGTGATTTTTTTCCCCTCTGTTGCTTCTCATAAGCTCTTAAAACAGGTAGAAAAATTAGGAATCTTTATTTTATCAGTCAAGGATTTCAACTCGAACGTTGCATCTACCTTCATTTTGCCCTAGTCAAGAGAGTTACATGATGATGAAGTATACCTGGATATGGCTGCTGCAAAGTTACTGCCTAATTGTAATTTTTAATTTGATAGAAAGCTAAATTATTAAATACATAGAGGACAATGAAATAAACTCTGTGGATTTAATTGGAATTCTATTTCACTACAATAAAATACAGTTTCATTTTAATTTAGTATTAGTTAAAATGGAATGAAACCACCTTTTTTTTGGGGGGGGGTGCTTGCTCTAAAAGTTTCCCAATCATCAGTTTAAAAATCCTTAAATGATATATGCCTCTGGAAAAAAAAACAAACCAGGAAATTATTTTGTCCAAATCGTTAAGTGGAGACAGCTTCTTTGTACCGAGTTGCTTTCTTGCAGACTTTTGGTTTGCAGTATAAGGTCTTAATGAACTCCTTGCAAAATTTGCAGTGAAATTTGGTTTTAAATAGCTTGGACAGCATTTCCATATTCCTCTGAATGCAGGTCACACACGGGTGAAAAGCCATATATCTGTGAGGACTGTGGGGCATCCTTTGCTGATAAAGGTAAACTTAATGGCCATAAGAGGACACATACAGGTAAGGCTTACATTAATTTCCTGAACATGAAAAAGGCCACATTTACTTACAAAGAAGGGATATCATACTCTTTTTTTAATGCGAAGAAAATCAGTACAGTAGTAAGGTATCTTGATTCAAGCAATTCAACCTGTTGTCTGATAGCCACATAGAGAATAATATGGGGATGACTGCATGTGTGCACACATTCCTGGTTTCCTGCTGCTTGCAGGTGTGGGAAAATAGGGGTCAGTTCCCCATTGGAAAACCATTTTTTTGGCCAACTAGCTGGTCATGACAAGGTTCCCTACAGTTTCACGAATCTGCATATGTTGCTCACTCATTCTGCAATTTCAAGCGGTTACATTGCAACTTTGCATACTGTTACTCCAACAGCCCGCTGCATTGTAGATATCCTTCAAGAGAAAAGGAATGCTTAACTCTTCTCTGGAATGTCACCTTTTCTTTTTGCAGAATTTTAGGAGAAAAGAAGGAGTATGTTTAAGCTTCCTCTGTCCATCCCATGCTCTTGTTTTACAGAAGGAATCATTTGCAAAAAAAGAAACGTTTTTCAGATTATACTTATTCAGTATAATAGAAGACAAAAAAGTAGGAAGAGTACAGGTAGTCCTTGCTTATTGACATACTTTGTTTAATGGCCATTTTTAGTTATACAGTGTTAAAAAAAAAAGGCTTTGCAACCAATCCTTACATTTATGACCACTACAGTGTCCCATCATGCAATCACCATTTGGGCACTTTGCAACTGGCTTTTATAAAACTGGCTTTTATATAAAAAAAAAAATTAAGGTTGTGTTTTGCTTAATAACTATAGTGATTTGCTTAACAACTGAAGTGAGGGAAAGTCCTATCCTGGTTCTGTGATGCTTCATTTAGTAGCCATAAGTGCTGAGCAACAGAGTTGCCAGTCCCAATTGTAGTTGCTAAGTGAGAACTACAGGTAGTTGTTGACTTATGACCATAATTGAGCCCAGAATTATGGTTGTAAGTCATGCCAGTCATTAAGGCAGCTCATTACATGACTGCATCCTTTTTTTTTTTTTTTTGCATGGTTGTTAACTCCTTAGTCCATAATGGGTATTGCTGAAAACTGGCAAAAAATGTCATAAATTGCAGTCATGTGACTGGGGGGTGCTACAGACAGCTGTAAATGGAAGCTGGTTGTCAAGAGCCCAAAATGCAATCCCATAACCATGGGGGGAGGGGCAGGCCATGAGAACTTAAAATCTGTATCATAAATGGCTTTTTCAGGATCTGTCATAGCTTTGAATGGTTGCTAAGTGACCAATTGTATGTCAAGGACAACTTGTGTAATATGCAAGTATATAATATTACAAATAAGTCCTTGGGCATGTGGGATACAGCAAACTGACACAATTTTCAGATTCTTCATGGCTTTACAAGGTTTTTCAGTATTATAATCAGTAAAATTTATTATTTCTGAAAGGTTTTTAATAATCACGGGGAAGGAAAAGAACAACATATTAAGAAAAGCTTGAGAAAACATTATTTTGAAAATCTCCATTGGGTGATCCTGTTTGGATGATCCTGCCTTGGAATTGAAATATTCATTCAATTATCCCTTTTCTGTCCTCTATATAATGTTGCTTACCATAAAAGAGAATATAGTGATGGCTACAGTAGGTACATGTGTATGTATGTATGTATTTCCCTTACAGGAGAACGCCTCTTCAGATGTGATGTGTGTGGGAAACATTTTGCTACTAATGAATATTTAAAGTGTCACAAGCGTTGTCACATGGGAGCTAAGCCGTACAAGTGCGATGTGTGTGGGAAAACCTTTGGATTGAGAGCTTCATTAGCCCAACATAGTAATGTTCATGCAGGTACGGAAGAAAAGATGTATTGGAGAGATAGATATGCAAAACAGGTTTCTGGGGTTTGGTGTTCACAGTTACCATAAATCCTATCCATGTATCACATAAAGGAAACTAGGATCCCCATAGTTTCTCTATTTGTTTAAAAAATGACTTTCTATTCATTAATTGCACTTAAAATAATTTAGTTTGTAAGCCAAATATCTAAGCATCTATACAGAGGTGGCGCAGTGCTTAGAATGCAGTTGGCAACTCTAAAAAGACCATAGAAATATTTTCTAATTTCTAATTTAATTTAATTCTAATATTTTCTAATTCTGCTGACTGCCGGCAGTTCTATTCTCACCGGCTCAAGGTTGACTGAACCTTCCATTCTTCCGAGGTTGGTAAAATGAGGACCCAGATTGTTAGGGGTAATAGGCTGACCCAATAAGCCACTTAGAGAGGACTGAAGCACTGTGAAGCGGTATATAAGTCTAAGTGCTATTGGTAAGTCCTATGCCAGTCCGATACATATGCAAGCATGATATAGTCTGTCTTCACCTCTGCAGGTTACAAAGGTCAAAAAGCAACATAGACATGTTTTATAAAGTGACCTTAGGATTGGAAATAAACTAACATTGGTTTGTTTCTTCACATTCATTTTCTTTCCAGAGACTCCTCCTTATTTCTGCGAGCAGTGTGGAAAGACATTTACTCAGCAAGGAGCCCTAAGACGTCACCAGCGTATTCACACTGGAGAAAAGCCATACAAATGCAGGGCTTGTGAGAGAACCTTCACAGATATGTCTACCTTGAGGAGGCATGTATTGGTACGTTCAGTAGTTTGTGCTATAAATTTTCTCTGTGGGAATAGGTTGGTTTATGTCCTGAAGTCATTAAATAGTTCTCTTGCTGAGAGTTTTTTTTTAAAGCCGTGCTTAGCATTGTAGTCATCTATCATTCTTCTGTCATTTTGGGAATTGTGGCACAGCTGCTGAGGTAGGGAGGCAAAAGCAAAGGTACTTCTGCATGGGCAGAGAAAAATGGCAGAGCCCCATTGATTTCTGCCCTGATTCCTTATAATACAATTCTGAAATGCACAAGGACTACACAACTTTGGAAAGACGAAGGGCCAACAATACCCACATGGTGTGTGGTTTCAAAGCAGTTGCCTTGGGTTAGATCAATGTTTTTCACACTTGGCAACTTTAAAATATATGGACTTAAATCTCCCAGAATTCCCCAGATAGCATGCTAGGATTTGGTCCGCATATCTTAAAGTTGCACATATTGTTAGACTATTCAGTGTAGGAGAAAAAACTCTGTAGAAAGGGTAATAGACTTGTCTTACTGTATCTAAATAAAGAATGTAAAATCTTAAGTCACTGAACTGCGAATTCTTTATTTTAAAAATCAGCAAGCTAATAAATAAGAAACTGATCCAGATTTCATTTTTTAAAAGTTAATGACCCTATTTATGGAGGGTTTTTAAAAATATGTATGTTTGATAAGCCAAGTGAGACCTTGACTAATGAAGTATTTTTTTCTTCTGTAATAGGTCCATGATCGGAATGCTCATTGGAGAAGTTTCTTAATTGATCTTACTATCAAAAAGGATCATAACTGGTCCAAAATAGAGACTTTGTCTACTATTTGCATGGAAGAGAATTCTACTACAGTTTGGTCTGACTGCCAAGAAAAATGCTACACATCAGAAAACACAAATGTAAAAAAAGTGGAACAGATACCAGGCAGTAGTAATGTGAAAGAATCTGAACCTACCCTTATGCTTTTATAGCTATCAACAATTAAAGTTCAATATGGATATAAACTTCTCACATTGTTTCATTTTTTTTCTCTCGCATAGGAAGATTCTCCAAACGTCTGCAGGATTTACAGATAGACATGGTATCAGCTTAGAATTTGATATGGAATGGTTTCTAAATGAGCTTTCTCTTAGCTGATGTTTTAAGGTGCTTTTGAGGACCAGATAGACTTAATAAAAAGTTATGTCAGGTTGCCTGCAGTCAAACCACTATGGGCCATACTGATGGCCGTGTGCAGGTCAGAGAATGTTAGATACCATCAAAGCCAACACCAACCAGAGCATAAAACAACTGAAAGAAGCCATACAAAGATGGGAAAATGTGGAGCTAGCCCATAGAATAGCTAAAAATTGGACACAATGAAAGTCTATCATCATCATCATCCTATGTAAAGATAATCTCAACTGGACATGGACAAGCCAGATGCCGCTGCCCTATTTTTAGAAGATTGTTTGTGTGACCACTTTGGCCAAACCAAATAATAACCTTTTTCATTGGATGCCTTTCTCTGCTTGCAGGCATCCAAGCCAGTACTGGTAGTCTTTAACTTAGAACAATTCATTTAGTGAATGTCCAAAGTTACAACGGCACTGAAAAAGTGACTTATCACCATTTTTTCATATTTATGACTGTTGCAGCACCCCTGTGGTCACATGATCAAAATGGAGACATTGGCACCTGACTCATGTTTATGACGGTTGTGGTGTCCCGGGGTCATGTGGTCTTTTGCCACCTTCTGATCATCAAAGTCAATGGGGAAGCCAGATTCACTTAACCATGTGGCTAACTGAACAATTGCAGTGATTCGCTGAACAACTGTGCCAAGAAAAGTCATAAAATGGGGCAGACCTCACTTAGCAACAGAAATCCAGGGCTCAATTGTGGTTGCAAGTCGAGGACTACCGTAGTTATGCAATGCCTGCAAAACAGTCAGATGAGAATAGTCAGTTGTAAGATATACAGAACCAAACTGCCTCTCTCTCTCTCTCTCTCTCTGTGTGTGTGTGTGTGTCTTTAAGTCAGCACTGACAACCTGGACTGATCCCTGCAGTTTTCTTGGCAAGTTTTTTTTTTTTTTTTTTGAAGGACATGGTTACCATTGCCTGCTTCTTTGGGCTGATAAAGAAGGACTGGCCCAAGATCACCCAGCTGGCATTGGTGCGCTTCACTGTATAATGGATATCCAAAAGCTGAGCTAACCAAGCGAGCGAGACAATCGAACAACCTCAGAACACCGCGAGAAGGAACGTTAGAGAAAGAGATTCGGCGAACCCGGACCTTTCCTAGTCACGGAGAGGCTCGCCTTTCTAGCCCTAGACGTCTCTATGGTGAAAGGCCTTTCTCTGTTTGAGTAGGTAGGACAACAGAGCGGCCACCCCGATTCCTAGGAGCCCGGCGGAAGTCCTAATGAAATCTGGGGTAGGGAAAATCTGACTCCTCCCCTCCCCCCCCCGCCTCTCCTGGCAACGAACGCCGTAGGTATGCTGTGACGACATCGAGAGGAAGGGGCGGAGGGGAAGCCGTTTATCGGATGTGGGAGCGTGACGGGGGGAGGGGCCATCCTGGCCCTGAGGCTGCCCAGCTGCCGGGGCTGCCCGGTGAGTGGGATTTGG